AGAGTTGGGAGTGTGCCAGACATCCCTGTTCCTCTTATAAGAACCGAGGCCTTTCAGTTATTTCAATAGTGCTGGTATAGTAAGCCTGGCAGGTCAGTCTTTTGTGAATGGCCAGTAACTGTTTGTGTTGTTAATTACAAAGCATATTTGGCAAAGGATTTCTTCCAAAAAGGCATGCCAAACAACTTTTAATTCTCTGACCTCCTGCTATATATTTCTTTATGTTATTCAAGACTAACTCATTGGAAAGGAGTATATGGTGAGCCATGACCATACTGTTGAAGAAGCATGAGGCCCCAAGGTGGGAGTTAATGGGACTGGCACTGTCACTACTGGCTGAGATAAGATAATACTTGAGGAAACTGATTAATATTCTTGGCCAAAATATTATCAGGTACACAGTTAGCTTTAAAGGTCAGGACTTTGGATATAATTGTAGTCCCCAGTGGTCAAAGGTTTCATGGAGCCCACTCAATGATGGAGCACATTTATAGGCAATTATATGCTTAGCCAGATGCCATTTTCCTCCTCCTCTTCTTCTTCTTCTTCTTCTTCTTCTTCTTTTTCTTCTTCATTTATGAACCTATTCAGGTTGTCTGCTCACTGATTAGGCTCACCAGTAAAAGCATGACCCTTTTCTAGTACCACTAGTGTATTATAGGACTAACACTTGCCTTACAGATAGAGGAGGCTTTATTAAGCTTTGACCATGCAGCTGTAGAGAACCTAATATGGACCATGTATTCTAATGGAGTGGGAGAGAGAAGTTTTTTTAATACTCTTAATGTTGAGAGTCACTGCATTAGAGAATAATAATTTTAAGTGAAACCACGTTTCTAACAAGGGGCCAGATAATGAGGATAAATGAAATCTGCAGACAGTATCGGGGCTTCATTTCAGCCATTAGTTATAATCTGTTCTACCAAACCATTTACTATGAAGCAAAATTGATTAATTTGCATGTATCTCTTCTCCCTGTACACACATACTCACTGATAGAATGAACAAATAGAGAAATGGACAAGAGAGGAAATATGATGGGGGCTGAGGCCTGGTGGAGTTGGGGATACGTAATCCCCAAACTGATAATCAACTATGGTATCATCAAGATAATATATTTGGGGGTCCAACATTAATTTTGATGTCTAATTATTTGGAACAATGTTTAAATATGAAAGAATATAGAATACCATTAGTAAAAATTACTTGCTATGGAATGGCTCTAAATAAATATGGCTTTCTTTTTAGCATGAAATAGAAATCTGTTGAGCTGGCCTTAATGGTTGCTTGGCACATACGGATACAGCTCTCTTTAACTCTATATCCTTATTTCTATAAGTTCTATATTTAATATACTGCAATTGTAATTGATATATAGCTTTGCTTAACACAAGTATAGTCCTGACTAAAACAATATTAGAGTAGCTGATGGATCTTGAAAGCATTTTTTTCTCATATATTCTAATCATTTTGAAACTGACCTGCAGAATCGCTTGAAGCTAGGTTTACAAGTCTTCAGGTTTTGCCTACTTGGCTGTATTTTTGGAGAGTGGTACAATTAGTTACGGATATATTACTATCTGATTGCCATTCTGTTCCTAGATACTTTCTCTTTTTCCATCCTAAGACAGTTACAAATATGGTTTTAGAGCAGACTTACTTCATGGAATCCTAATTCTCTATGTAACAGATCTCATATCTCATTGATAACTTCAACAATCGCTTGTTATGAAACAGCCCAGCAAAAGCAACTTAAGGGAAAATGCATTTATTTTGGCTTACAACCCATTGTAGTGTGGAAGGCAGGGTGGCAGGAGGATGAGGCTAGCACCTTACAATGCATCTCAAGTTGAGAAACAGGCAGAGAGAGAATAAGAAGTGGGGCCAAGCTATAATACCTTACTTTCCTCCCCACCACTACCTGAGTCACTTCTTCCAGCAAGGCTCCACCTTCTATAAAGGTCACCAGCTGGAGATCAAGTGTTCATGCACAGGAGCTTATAGGACTTTTCATATTCAAACCACAGCATCCTTCCTTTTGGTAAAGAAGACAGGGATTTCTGCAGGCTGATCAGAATGGGTTGCTTCCACTCTCCTTCATTGATTCTTCTATGTAACTATTTGTTGGCATCCATGGTCCAAGCAAACTGAAAAAGCTACTGATTAATAAGTACCAAAGAAGTCAGGCAGTCCCAGCACTCGGTAGGCAAAGGCAAGCAGATCTTTAAAAGTTGGAGACCAGCCTGGTCCATAGAGTTCCAGGACAGCCAAGGCTACACAGAGAAACCCTGACTTGGGGGGGGGGACAAAAACCAGGTACCAAAGGTGGCATTATTCCCATTCTCTTGATTCTGCTAGTTGTAAAAATGAGTCACCCTAGTTTGTGCTTTCTAGCTTTGTGGAATTGCTTTCTGACCTATGAAAACTGGGGCTTCTCTAATGACTATATTTATAGAGACTTTCAGTTGTTGAAATTATAGGAACCCAGAAAAGTAAGTAGCTTTTTTTAAAAATCAAATTTGCTGCCTGGGCCTTCTCATAATATAAAAGTAAATAAACAATCCTGTTAGTGAGTAATTTTTATTTTGTTCAATGTGTCCTTTAATTTTGATCTCGGATAAACAGGTTTTTTTAAGAAACAATTTATATACCATACAACTAGTCTTAGTCTCTTTTAATTATTAAATTACTAGGATTTAAAATGCCAGAGAGTCTCATCAAAGAGAATGTGTTCTAAAGAGAAAGGATTTATATGTCTAAACTCTCCCTCCATTTATTTTCCCCAAATATATATATAGGCCCAGAGCTTGTAGTTTGCCAGAGCTTGCATGCATGGTTATCAGAGATTTTGTGCTTTAACTGGGATAAAAAAAATCACCTCCAGGAGTTGTTCCTTTTCCAAACCACACTTACTGAAATGTGAACAGCCAGCCCAGCAATTCTGATACCATTTTCATCCCCTTCCTCTCTCTGAGACAGTTAAATAGTGCTGATCTTTGCCTGACACTCATCGTGCAGATAAGGAATGCATCTCAGAGCTGTGACTAGACAGCTTAATAACACCAAAATTATTTTCAATTTTAACATGACACATTTTTGATAAATAGAGGTAACGATTCAAAATTCACTCCGTTGAATGATAGAGCATAAATTACCTGTGCTGTGTATTTTGGAGAAACAAGTTATGAAGCATCTGATATTGTCAAGAATAAACTTTCAGAGTCACTCACTGATCAGAAAGATAGTATAGAGAAAGTGTCACATTTGTCATTGCCTCAGTGCTGTGGCATACTTCGGGGTGACTGGTAGGTGGATGCTCTTCATGCTGGAAATACCTGATAACTAAACAGTCTTATTTCCTTTCAGCTGTCCACAGTCACATCCCACAGGGTCTGAGAGGCCTTACTGTGATGGTTTTTAAACTGCTGTCCTGGTTGCATTTTTAGCAAGAAGAGATTCGTGGAAATATTGATATCCAATAGATAGAATAGCCACCGGGACACACTTTAATCACCATCATCATAATAAAACAGCGAGCGATTGCTCAAAAGATCTGACAGCCTCAAAGGGTACATGTATGAAGACAGGATGAAATCCATTTTCCAGGGGACATTTCATTCCCCCCAAAACCAGAAAACTTTTGCCAAAAAGGGCAGAAACTGCAAATGAGATTCTCACTGGCACCTTTCTCCTCTAAAACCTTGCCATGTATACACACATGGGAAGCATATGACTCTGTCTTCCTCCATCTGCTCTAAAAAGAAGAGGCTGGCCTGGTCTACAGAGAGAGTGCCAGGATAGGCTCCAAAGGCTACACAGAGAAACCTGTCATGAAAAATCAAAAGAAGAAGAGGAGGAAGAGGAGGAGGAGGAGGAGGAGGAGGAGGAGGATATGGCAGAATGGAATAGGGCGCTTTAAAAATTAAATTTTTATTATCAGTATTTTAAAAGACATTAAGAACTTTGAATAATTTCTCTTCAGTTTTGTTGCACTTATTCTATAAGGGAAAAGGACTGCTTCCTTTTGATTATATGCTAATCAAAGGAGAACACATTGGTTTTGCTTCAAAACAAAACAAAAACCAAAACATTAGCAACAGATCTTCCTAAGGCCAATAGTCTTCTCTTTTTATGTATCACTAAAAGTTTGCTTCACACTTTAAAACATTACAGTGTTTCCTGGGCTAGGATAATAATCTAGAAAAATGTCCTGTCCTGATATAATTTGAATTCATTATTGCTGTTAAATTGAAATATATTAGGAAATGTACAGTCTGATTGTTTTCATTACTTTTTAGTCTTTTCTTTTAATCAAGGTCTCACTATATAGTCCAAGCTGCCCTGGAGCTTATATGTAGCACAGGCTGACCTCAAATATATGATCATACTGTCTGTGCACCAGCCAGCCCAGCCTGTTTTTTCAGACTTATCAGACAGTGTTAATTTGCCTACATAGGAGTTAAGTTTTTAAAGGAACGAAAGCTTGAGAGGGCGTCAGCACAGGAAGTTTGGGGATATAACCCTGAAGTTGCAGTGTGACTACATAGGGTTTTGCTGTCTATTTGAAGTCGTTTTCTTCCTCCAGGTTGGGAATTGTGGCAGGATTCTAGCCACCAACTGTCCTACTCTACACATATAGTTTGTTTCAGATTTCTAGACAAAATAGCATAGGCTGGCATATACTGGACACGTACAAATCAGCATTTTTGTCTCTATGGATATCATAGTGGCCTTCCAATCCAAAACCAAACTTTTGGAAAACAGAAAACTACTACATATTTCTAAAAACTAGAGGAAAGGATTGAGGACTTAGCTCAGCGGTAGCGTACTTGTCTAGCCAGCACAAGTCCCTGGGTTTGGTCCTCAGCTCTGGAAAAAATAAAAATAACTAAAAACAAGGGTGGGGTGGAAAGAATTGTATTGAAAGTTTAATTATTATAACCTTTTCTTTCTGTTTCTATGAAGAAGTCTGTACTAATAAAACTGCCAATTTCTTTCAGGTGGGTGTGCATGGCATTAGAATAGAATTCATCAATGAAAAAGGATCAAAACGCACCGCCACCTACCTACCGGAGGTTGCAAAGGAGCAAGGTCATTGTGCTTTATTTCATATGATCTGGTGAAGATTTTAAACTGAAATGCAGTAGCTGACCTTGCAGTTATGTCTCATAATTGATCACCATCACATTATAATAACTGACTTTCATCACTGTCACTGCAATGTCTGGTTCAAATTGGCGAATTACACAGAATCTGCTTCTTGGCAGTGACACTTGACACCATATACTCATAAAAACATACTTTAAAAATAGCACAAATCTATGAAAATTGGGGATTATTTTAAGCAACAGTTTGTTACTACTTTGGAGCACAATTTTCCCATGCACCAGTGTGTAGTAATTAGCATGGTGACCTGAAGAGGCCTTAGGCTTACAGACAGCCTTGTAGTTTGACGTTATTCATTGTTAATATCTAACAATTCTTCTTCGATGCTTGCTATTATTCATTGTGTTAATACTGAAACTAAGCTTCCCAAGAAGATGGGAGCAATTGTGAATACATGAAGTATCACTTTATGCTAAATCTATATTTCATGATCAGTAACTATTTTCTTATTTCACAGATATGCCACACATCTTTCTGAACCAATACAGTGACACTAAACAACTCTGTTGTAGTACTTTGTCCTTCCTAGCCACTACTAAATTCTAGTCTCACATTAGTTCAAATGAATGCTTTTAAAAAATTCCGTAGAACTTAACTTTTTCAGAAAGCATTTAAAATGTGCCTTCCCTGTGTATTCTCATACAAATATAAAAGATAAAACAACATATTTTAATGTATTAATCCTCAAATGAGATGTTAATCTTTAAGGCAGCTATGTGAAGATTTATTTGGATTGCTTTAGAAAATGTCTTACTACTGTGGGACCATTGACTTCATAAGGATATTAGACTAGCATTCATATCAGAAACAATAAAATACCCTTGAGTATTTCACACAAATATAGGTTATTGAGCATAGAAGGTACCATTAAGGCCAGCAATTACCATGCAAAAGTTATGGGAGCCCCAAATACAAGTTAACACAGGTCATGTTTTATTTATTTAGGCTTTCCCTCCCTTTTGAAGGCATGACCATTAGAGAAGAAAGAGTACATCTGTTACAGAGACATGACTGAATGGTTTCTTAGACAATTTAAGGCATGTGGTGATGAACCTGCGGTAAATCTAGTTCTTCTGTAAGACTCTTTTTTAGGACCAAAGAAGTTGATGGCATTTGGTCACAGTGATAGCTGACCTCTACAGAGTCATTTTGTATTTAAGCAAAGGTGCTTTGTGGTATGTGCTTGACTGATATTTTATTTCATCGCCTCTCCACAGGATGGGACCATATTCAGACCATAGATTCCTTACCATAAAGCTGACCAGGTACCATGGCATTTTGTAGCACAACTAACCAGTACACTTCCAACAGTGTGCTTATAACCCTTTGACTTCTTTGGTTTCTTGAACTACACTTGCTACTCTTGTCTAAAGTAGTGGAAACAAATGCAGGGCCATACTGAGAGTGGATCTTCTGGAACAGTGCTTGGCATAAAATACTGCATGATATTTGTGTCCATCCTTCCCATCTTTAGCGCCTTGTGATTATTCTGGCTTTGTGCAACCAACCCCCTGAGACTAAATTGTCTTATTGGAGAAAGTACCAGAATTAGCTGTTTACTAGCTTTTGACATTGCCTAGGAGAACCCCCCAGGATTCTGATAAGCAGTCCTAAAATTTAAATTTAACCTTAGAATTTTGGCAGTGATAGGAGTCTACTATGAAAGCTTATTGAAAAACACAATTGAGCTGAACTTGAATGCTAAATAAATTTCATCATGGAATAATAGGGATACTTACTTAAGAAGGAAAGTATCGAACATTTTAGGAAAATGGGTTACTGCTTCCATTCATTTCAATTCCAGAAAATTGCATTACGTGCCTGTGATTTAAAAATGGATTGTTCTCAGCTCTGCATAGTTACAAATTTGAAAATGTCCCCATTTCTGTTCTCCCCAAGCTTATAGTTTGAGGAAAATAGAAGGGCATGAATAAAAATAATTACTACTCCAAGGCAGAGTATTATGGATGTGGAGGATCAGAATGCTGGGGAAGAGGAACTCCAGGAAGTCAGTGGGTAACAGAAGACTTCAAAGAGGAGGTGGATTTAGGGCTTTAAAATGGGTAGACTATTTGACATGTAGAAAGCGAGGGAGGAAAGGGATTCCCTGAAGATGTGTTGTGAGTCAAAGCACATAGGTGGTAAAGAAAAGAGCCAGTTTTAAGGCCTATGAAGCACTGTGATTTCGCTGGTCTTCAGTGTACATAGGAAATGTCATTAAAGGAAAATGTAGCCTAGAAGGTAGATTGAGTCAGACCATTTAAGACTTGGTAATCCAAAATTAAAACTTTGGACCTGATTCTATAGACATTGCCTAGCCATTATAGGGTTTTAAAAATATACTCCAGGCCAGGTACAAGCCTTTAATCCCAGCATTCAGGAAGCAGAGGCAGGTGGATCTCTATGATTTCAAGGCCAGCTTGGTCTACATAGTGGGTTCCAGGAGAACCAGGACTATATAGAGACAGAATCCAAAGAAGCCTCTGACAGCCATGATAGAACCAAGGGACACTGGGCAATGGATAGAGTAAGGAGGAGACTGAAGGGAGAAACTATGCTTCCTCTTGAAAAGTAAGGCAATAGAAAGATACCTAGATACAGATGGAGGAGAGGGTTCCAGTGCAAGATGTTGTAACATAGTGGCAAAACCCAAGCTGTGTGGACAAATAAAGGAATGGTAAGGGAGGAAGCGATGGAAGGTCTCTGAAGAAAAATGTCCCAGTGAATGAGATGTGTATATGATGATAAAAGATTGGCTTTCCCTTGTTCCTTCTTACTCCAAATTGGGTGCAAGGGGCAATGCCATTCCTGGAGTACTTTAAACAAGTAGTAGAGCAGAAAAAGCAATGGACTCAGAGTTTGGATTCCTGTGTTCTGATCTCAGCTTTGCTGCTTACCAACTCTGTGACCTTAGGCAAGTAACTGCTTCTCTCTGGGCTTCCTGTTTCCTATACTTAGGGCCCTCTTAGCTCTGATATCTGTTCTTGATACTAACTTTTCTCTTCCCTGACTCTTTTAGGTACCGTAGTGAAAAGATGACCTTGAGTTATGCTGAATACCTTGCTCATCGCCAGCATCATCACTTCCAAAATGGCATCGGGCATCCCCTGCCACCATACAACCATTATTCCTGACACTGAGCCGCACAACCAGTCATTGGGCCTCTCTGCAGACCTCTTTCCAGGAGACCCTACACCTTCTTGGTCTAGCTATCTCTTTTACTGTACCATTTTATGATGATAGTTTCCGTTGCCATGGTGAAGCTTCGACATTGTCAGTTAAGACCATCATGGTAACGGGTAGGAAAAATGGCATTTGTTAAGAAGATCTTGTTATTATTTTAGATCCTTGATTTTTTTTGCAGCACATACAACTTTTGGAGTTTTCTTTCCTTACAATATTAGGTATATTTTTGCTTTACTATCCCAGTCGGGTTTCTGTCCTTTTATCCCTTCCTCCTTCCTTCTTTTGACTGTGGATGGAAGAAAGTATGCAGTTTTTGAGGATTTAGTAGGTTTGTTTTAGTATTTCTCAGTAAGATAGTCATTTTTGATAGCTGAGTTGGGGATTAATTCATAACAAATTCGGGTATTTGTATATTACTCTTGAATTTGTGTAAAATTCTCTTTGCTATGACGGCTTTGTATTTGAGTCAAGTACATGTTTTTCCCATGGTTAAAAAAGTGAGCTTTAGTTTAAGTAAACATTCAAAGGTCCATGATAGGGCTTGTGACAGAGAACAAGAAACTGTTGACGCCTTTTGTGCTGGTTGTGGTAGAAGAGACTGACCAATCAAGCTATAGAACCAATTTCCAAACTAAATCACTGTTTTAGAAAAGCATAAGCTACCTTTCCCATGGGCTGCAGGAATCATTTTGAAAGGCAGCAAATATTAGGAAGAGATCAGATGCAGAACTTAGTGCCTTTGAGAAGACTATAATTAAGTCAAATTAAGAGGGGTTTTAAAAAGGCAATTTAGAAGAATATTCTTGTAAAATTTTATTGTTTCTATATAAGAAACAACAGATTACACAAATTCCTTACTCCAAAGTATTTTTTTAGTGAAAAAAATTATTTTGAGCAAATAACCAAAAAGACATTTGTCTATTTTATATTAATTTAAATTTGTTAGCTTTAGGTTTCAATGAGTCATAATTGGTAAGAGACAACTTTAGCTACTAAGACATGATAAAGATAATCTAGTGAAAAGTTCCTTCATACTATGACTTCAGATTTGTCTATCGTGGAGACAGTGCTGTTTCCGAGATCCTGTAAAGAGTTTGAATCTCTTTCTGCACTACATACTTTTGATAGAAACATATTTCTGTGTTGACAGAGATTATGTTGGACCTGTGAAGATGGAATTCAGATATATTACTTAGAGTCTACCTCATTGTTTTATGTGTGTGTGTATATATATATATATATATATATATATATATATATATATATGCATATATATTATATATATGGGAAAATATATAATTTTTCAAGCAGGAGGTCAATATAACAAGTGGTGAGTGAAATTATGCTGCAGAATGTGTATTCTAAAACTATAACATGCCGCTGACTATTGAAATGGTCAAGCTTATACATTTAATTGCTATGATAAATGACAGACTGGTAGTTCAGAAAATCTTTTTCTAGTTTGTAAGACAATTGGCTGGATTCATTCTGCTTGCGACCAGAGCAAAGTATACAGCTTTAGTTTTTGATGAGGGTTCTTCAAAGTTTGGTATTCCTTCATCCACAGCATCCATTGTTGAAGTAACCATTTTCAGTTATGATGCCTTAACTAAGAAGCCAATTGCTAGCCTGAAAGGCAGTCTCGATAGCCCGTTCCACCTAATGCAGAGATTTGTCAGAATGCTTCCAGGCTTTAGAACTGGCTTTTAAGTCCTGTTCCTTCTGCTTGGAAGCATATTGGGATAGATTAGTCTTTCAGTATAAAAGCAAATGGCTATCTGACATTTTCTTGCCCTTATAGGGAAAGTGAGCACAAGCTGAATGGTATTGTCTGCTGCAAAAAAAAAAAAAAAGAAGAAAGAAAGAAAGAAAGAAAGAAAGAAAGAAAGAAAGAAAGAAAGAAAGAAAGAGAAAAGTAAATGAAACATATAAATTGAAGAGAGACAGAATAGACCAATATTGTTGTGAAATCCATCTTATCCATCATCTCATCATTTCAATAGCTCCTCGTCCTGGGTGAGCTTATGGCTAGTTTTTTTTTCTGTTGTTATTGTTTTTAAAGAAAAGATCTATCACATGCATATATGCATGTATGTGTACATATACTTACACATGCATACATGCATATGTGTGTGTTTATGTATTTAACGGTGCTAATCAATCTTGAGCAGGTCACGTGACTGGTCATGCGGACTCTAAGAATCATATCAGATTTTTTAAAATCCTTGATATATGCAGATGTTCTACAGATTTTCTTACCAGTGTAATAATATTATACTGAAGAATAACCATCCTGCAGGCTTCAAAGGACGAGGTCAGCAATATTTCCCACCATGGCTTGGGGGGAAAGGATAGTGTTGTCTCCTTTTGTATTCAAGTTGATGCACAGTGCATTTTTGTGTCTAAGTAGCTGTTGACTAAAAGACTTTGTAGTGTAAATAGTATTATACAAACTATAATGGTGTGCTTCAAACAAACAGATGCTAGGCCCTTTCACTTTTGTTGTGTATTATAAAGCTGTTAACTATGTGGTTTGAAATAACTTTGAACATGTGGAAATATGTAGCATGTGTCTTTAACGCAGACAAAGATTCTAATTGCACAAGTTGTGTTCTAGCCAGTTGTGGTTTATTTGTTCAGAAACACAAATGTGAATTGCACTCTTTATCACCAGAATATTTTATAAGTTCCGTGATCTTTAAACAGCTGAGAAGTAATACTTGAACTTCATTTGAGTAGCACAAAGTTTACAGAGCCCCTTTTAAATGTTAATTAGTTCCAATTAAGTTTTTTGGTTTTGTTTTTGTTTTTGTTTTTGTTTTTGTTTTTGTTTTTCCAAATGCAACTGGGTATTTCCTTGGAAAACAGTGTGTATTTTAGTTTGGTATGTAGCAAATGGCTTCCACTTCTGGAAGGTTTTATTGTTCTTAAACAAGGTCAGCCAGGTACCAGATTCTAAAAGAACAATTGTCCCCCCCTCTCCCCCCGTCAAGTG